CTAGCCTCCTGCTGTAGACATGTCTGCTTACTCCCTGCTGGTAGACACTGTCCTAACCTCCCTGCTGGTGAACACTGTCCACAGCTTGCACTCCCACTGCTGGCAGGCATAATCACAACACTCCTTGCACTAGCAGACCTGTCTAACCTCCTGCTGGTGGGCCTGTCCACAACACTCCCCTGCTAGTGAACTTACTGTCCTGTATCCCTGCTGGCAGACCTGTCTAGCACTCCTTGCTGGCAGACACTGTCCTGTACTCCTTCTTTGTGAACACTGTCCTGCTCCCTGCTGGTGAACACTGTCTGCCTCCTTGCTGGTGGGCACTCACAGCACTCCTGCTGGTAGACACTGTCACAAGCTTACTCCTTGCTGGTAGACACTGTAGAAAACACTCCTGCTTTAGTAGCACTGTCTGCCCTTTCCCCTGCTGGTGAACACTGTCTAACACTCCTGCTGGTGAACCACTGTCACAACACTCCCTGCTGAGTGAACCTGTCCTAACACTCCCTGCTGGTAGACACTGTCCTGTAACCCCTCCCTGCTGGCAGACACTGTCCTAACACTCCTTCATGGTGAACTGCTGTCCTGGCCTCCTTGCTGGTAGACACTCACAACACTCCTGCTGGTAGACCTCCTAGCCCCACTCCCTGCTGGCAGACACTGTCACAACCTCCTTGCTGGTAGACACTGTCCACAACCTCCCTGCTGAGTAGACCTCCTAACACTCCTGCTGAGTAGACACTGTCCTGGCACTCCTGCTGGTAGACACTGTCCTAACCTCCCCTGCTGGTGGGCCTCCCACAACCTCCTTGCTGTGAGACACTGTCCTGCTTACTCTCCTTGCTAGTAGACACTCCTGGCCACTCCTTGCTGGCGAGACACTGTCCTGCCTCCTTGCTGGTAGACACTCCCACAACCTCCTTGCTGGTGAACACTGTCTGTACTCCTGCTGGTGAACTTGCTGTCACAACCTCTCCTGCTGTGAGTAGACACTGTCCTGTACTCCTTGCTGAGTGAACCTGTCCTAACCTCCCTAACTGGTAGACACTGCAACACTCTGCTTGCTGCCCAGACACTGTCCTGCTTACTCCTTGCTGGCAGACACTGTCTAACACTCCTTGCTGGCAGACACTCTAGCTTACTCCTGCTGGTAGACACTGTCTGCTTACTCCTTGCTGGTGGAGCCTTTCCCTAGCCTTACTCCTTGCTGGCCAGACTTGCCTGTCACAACCTCCTGCTGGTAGACCTCCCACAACCTCCTGCTGGTAGACCTGTCTAACACTCCTGCTGGTGAGCCTCACAGCACTCCTGCTGGTAGACACTGTCACAACACTCCTGCTGGTGAGACACTGTCACAACCTCCCTGCTGAGTGAGACACTGTCTGCTCCTGCTGGTAGACACTGTCCCAACCTCCTGCTGGTGAACCTGTCCTCCCTGCTGGTGAACACTGTCCTGACACTCCTGCTGGTAGACACTGTCCACCAACCTCCTGCTGAGTAGACACTGTCCTGTACTCCCTGCTGTTAGACACTGTCCTGCTTACTCCTTACTGAGGCTGAACCTCCTAGCCTCCTGCTGGTGAACACTGTCCTAGCCTCCTTGCTTTGAACACTGTCACAACACTCCTTGTTGGTGAACCTCCTAACCTCCCTGCTGGTGAGCCTGTCACAACCTCTCCTTGCTGAGTGAACCTCCTAGCCCCACTCCTGCTGGTAGACACTGTCCTGCCTCTCCCTGCTGGTAGACACTCCACAACCTCCTGTAGTGAACACTGTCCTGCTTACTCCTTGCTGGTGAACCACTCTAACCTCCCTGCTGGTAGACACTGTGCAACCTCCTGCTGGTAGACACCTGTCCTGGCCACTCCTGCTGGTGAGACACTCCTACAACACTCCCCTGCTGGTAGACACTGTCACAACCTCCCCTGCTGGTGAACACTGTCTGCTACTCCCTGCTGGTGGGCACTGTCACAACACTCCTTGCTGGCAGACACTGTCTGGCTTACTCTCCTTGTTGGCAGACACTGTCACAACACTCCCTGCTGGTAGACACTGTCTAGCCTCCTTGCTGGCAGACTTACTGTCACAACACTCCTTGCTGGCAGACACTGTGCAACACTCCTTGGCCAGACCTGTCCTGCTTACTCCTGGTAGACATATCCCTGCCTCCTTGCTGGCAGACACTTGTCCTGCTTACTCGCTGGCAGACACTGTCTAGCACCTCCTTGTTGGCAGACACTGTCCTAACCTCCTGCTGGCAGACACTGTGAAAACACTCCTGCTGGTAGACACTCCTGCTTACTCCCCTGCTGGCAGACACTGTCCTGTACTCCTGCTGGCCAGACACTGTCCTAACCTCCCCTGCTGTTAGACACTCACAACCTCCCTGCTGGTAGACACTGTCCACAACACTCCCTGCTGGTAGACACTCACAACCTCCTGCTGGTAGACACTCACAGCAGCTGTTGCTGGCAGACACTGTCCTGCTCCTGCTGGTGAACCTCTGGCCTCCCTGCTGAGTAGACCTCCTAACCTCCTTGCTTTGGCCAGACACTGTCCTGGCACTCCTTGCTGGTGACACTGTCACAACCTCCTGCTGGTAGACCTCTGCCTCCTGCTGGTAGACACTCCTAGCCTCCCTGCTGGTAGACCTCACCTTGCTCCTGCTGGTGAACACTGTCCTGCTTACTCCCTGCTGGCAGACCTGTGAAAACACTCCCTGCTGTAGCAGACACTCCTGCTACTCCCTGCTGGTAGGTTTTTGTCTGGCCTCCCTGCTGGTAGACACTGTAGAAAACACTCCTGCTGAGTGAGCACTCTGGCTGCTCCTGCTGAGGTAGACACTGTCACAACACTCCCTGCTGGTGAACACTGTGAAAACACTCCTGCTGAGTAGACCTCTAACACTCCCTGCTGAGTAGACACTGTCACAACCTCCCCTGCTGGCAGACACTGTGAAAACACTCCTGCTGGTGAGCACTCCCGCAACACTCCCCTGCTGGTGGAGCACTGTCCCAACCTCCCCTGCTGGTGAGCACTCCTAGCACTCCCTGCTGGTAGACCTCCTAGCCTCCTTGCTGGCAGACACTGTCCTGCCTCCTTGCTGGCAGACACTGTCCTGGCCTCCTTGTTGGCAGACACTGTGAAAACCTCCTGCTGGTGGGCCTGCCTCCTGCTGGCAGACACTGTCTAACCTCCTTGCTGCAGCAGACCTCCCAACCTCCCCCTTGGCAGACACTGTCTGGCACTCCTTGCTGGCAGACACTGTCCTGGCTGCTCATGGTAGCAGACACTGCTTGAAAACCTCCCTGCTGGTGAACCTCACAACACTCCTGCTGGCAGACACTGTCCTGCCCTCCTTGCCCAGACACTCCTAGCACTCCCCGCTGGCAGACACTGTCACAACCTCCTGGCAGACACTGTCCTGGCCTCCCCTGCTGGCGACACTGTCCTGCCTCTCCCTGCCCTGGCGAACCTGTCCTGCTTACTCCTTGCTGGCAGACACTCCTAGCCTCCTGCTGGCAGACTTGCTGTCCCTGCCTCCCTGCTGGCAGACACTGTCCTAACACTCCCGCTTGTGACAGGTACACATGATGATTTCGTGCCATTAATCACCACATGTAGTGGATTCCTCCCCTACAAGCACCGAACTTTTCGAATTCCCTAGCCTACGCCTCCAGCGCCGCCCACGGAGCGGGGGTCAACTATCTACCCACGCCTACCCCCGCCTTATAAGGCCTGACACAGCTGTGACCACTCTCCCTTTTCTACCCAGTGCCACCAGCAAGCAACACCTCCTCCTCGCCAGCCGTGCGGCTGCCGCTCCGCCAGCGACCTTAGCGTCCCTCAAGCCGCGTGCCCTCACTCTGAGCACCCTCACCACCTAGCCTTCTACTCAACGCTTATTACCATGCTACCTACCCAGCACCAAGCTGCATTGTACATTCAATACAATATGTATACAGTGAGCACATTGTGAGTTTCCTTTCTCCCTCCCATCCTGAGTGTGAACCAATACCTCATACCCCTACACACACACTGCTTGTGATCACGTAGAAGTCTTCCATCCACGCTAGGACATTTCCCCGAATCCCGTACCCTTCCAGTTTAATTTTCAGCCTTTCATGGGGTACGTTGTCGAAAGCCTTGGCAAAATTTAGGTATATATTCTCTATATTACCGCCCTGCTCCAGAAGATGGGTCCAAATATCCAGTACCTTGAGTAACTGAATTGATGTTCCATCATGGCATCTCTTATAATACCTTACATGCCAGTGCTCAGCGGCCCTGAGTACATACACAGCAGTGCGTGTGACCGATCACCCAAGCAGCTAACGAGCCTATCAGTGGCGAAGAGGATAAAGTAAAAGTAATACTATTTTTAATTGAAAACAGCGTTATAATGAGGATTATCATAGCAACCTGGAAATACACGCGCTTTGTTAGGGTTTATTCCGTTACAGGAGCTCCTAAGGTCCTGCACTTACAACCTCTAAGATCGGCTTACAGTCAACAGTCAATTAACTGGGAGTATTGTAAATACAAAAAAAAAAATACTGTGGTTCCTTTCGAGTACCCGCCCGGGACCCGCCCGGACCCGCCGCCTCGGCCACAGTTGTGTGGATCGGCTGATCTCTGACGCTGATACTTCTTATCAGTTTGCCTTTATTCTAAAAAAATCACAAGAAACGCCATAGCGAATATTGAATATAATATATTTATTTAATTTTAACAAGATTAATTGAATATTAAAAAATTAAACTTTCTTATTCCTTATATTTAAAAAAAAGTAATATGTCAGTGGCAACTGTATGCTAGTCATATGATTAACACCAGTGTCAGACGTAAGAAAAGTCAATGAAAATTAATGAAATAATAAAATACTTATTACTTTTTTATCTATTATGCATTTATATTTAATTTTTTACTTAAATATTTAATAAAATCATACAATATATCGTTAATAACTTTTCATTTAGTGTTTTATACAGGGGTGATAAAATCTGACTGGACCCCGGCAACAAGGATCACCTGACAGAGGTAAACATGGGGGCCGACGTGGTGCCTGTAGCTGTGGTCACGGGGTTTCTGTGATCGGTCTTATTCTTCCCTTTATTGTAGCCAAGGGACCCAACAAAGGGTAAGTACTGTTCTTTAACTTCATAGAACTGTAAGTATGTATATGGAAAAAGGGAGTTACTAAAAACGTAAGGCGGGTATAGTCTGGGTATAGCAAATTGCCGTTTAACTACCAATTGGGCTTTTTATCAATAATCTAGGTTTTTCTCATGGTATTTTGTCTGTTATTCATACTAATTTAACCTTCACGGAAATGATTCGTTACCGAGTTATCACACCTCCGACTACAAATATTGGGTAAAATTATAGTTTTGGTAATTCAGCGATTTTTAGGATTTTAAGTATTGGAATCAGTAGTTTAGACAATTCTAGGGTCAATTTATAGTAATACACCATTATTTCTTTCATTTGGAATTCGCTTCTACCACAAATCCTCGTTTTGGCTCCCCACCCACCCCCTCCCCCACCCAGAACCCCAATTTCCACACTTCCCCATTATTGGTAGAGGGCTTCCAGAGTTATTTCTATTAAAAGTGAATGTCATATTTGAACCAGTCGTATCAAAAACTATCAGAAAAACACTTTTTTTTTTATTATTAGATTCTTTTGTTGTTTTAATCAGCAATTTTACCAAGACTAATTATAGGACACTTTTCTTCTGTGGCATTTCTTTCGCTCGTGATTAAGAGAAAATTGGGGAAAAAAAGGAAAATCATCGTATTTTTCTCAGTTGTTGGAAGTTGAAATTAAATTTTTCCGATGTTTTTTGTGTTGAATGAATCTGACCTTTATACCACTAATCACACCAAACCTAACTAGGCAAAATTATCGTTTCGGTCATCCAGCGGTTTTTAGGTTTAAGTTTGGAATCAGTAGTGCTTACCTTAATTAGGCTCAGAAGACTTGGAGTTGGTATGATGGTGTTTGTCCGCTTTATAGCTACAGGGCTGCTGACAGTTCACAAGTAACCCCAGTTGGCAAAACACCGTGTTCATGGAGAAATTTCAATGCCTCACCGGTTTACTGTAATATTCAACGTGAAATCTTGCAATAGCTTGGAATGAATCATCACAGCCATTGCCGGGGAGACAACTTGGAAATAAATTCAAGGGAGTCATGACGGGGGGCCTATACCGAGCTGTGATTGGTTAATCCCAAATCATACCCACTAATTAGTGTCCAAAGAACTGTGCATGTTTCAGACTCTAGCACATGTGGAATACAGTATACAGGTACTAACCAATACACAGGAGCTCTCTGGGACGGTGGTAACATTGACAACACTTGGAAAAAATAAGATGATTTAACAAAAATTTAATGCGACTTTTTCTGAGAGTAATCATGAGCAGAAGAAAGGTGTCTTAGAATTGTCTAAACCACTGATTCCAAAATTTAAATCTTAAAATCCGCTGGATGACCTAACGATAATAATACCCCAAATTGCTCTCACCGAGTTGGGGCTGAAACTGCAAAAATACCCAACAAATCTTGGGAGACCCGTGGTGTTTGGGGGCAGGGAAGAGCAAAACCGGAAACTAATAGGTTAAGGTAATTAATTGGAACTTATCTGTTGCTAGTTTGGCAGACAATTTTGGACTCATTTTTCTCAATATTCTATGCTTAATGCAATGGAAATACTGTCGTCTTTTTTTTGTGAAATGCAAACAAAAATTGCTTTTTCAACTTCTGAGTTGATAATTTTTTATTTTTTTTGGTTACTATGACCTAGCTTAACCTAACCCAGCTAAACCTAACTTTACCAATCATAACCTAAACATCCTACGTATTGTCACACAGTGGCTGGTGCAGAGAATGATTGAGAGTTCAGAGGGGTTGGGAGGATATCACTTTCAGGTACAGTATTACATAATCATTTCCACAATTTGGGTTTCAGTTTCTTCAATATTTTTTTGCTTTTCAATGGAAAATGTCTGTAGTAACGTAAAAATAATTTTTTTTTACTTCGTGATTCTCGATTCGAAAGTTGAAAAACAAATTTTTTTCGTGTTTCCACAAAAAAGATATAATTATTGACGACTGACCCGTGGCCAATTTTTCATGGAAAACGATTATAAAAATACAGCAATTTTACTGTTTTATATTGGACGCTGTCGTAGTAGTGGAAATGCGTTAAAAAGTGGTTATTTCTAAATTAAACTTAACCTAACCTTAGTTGATATGAAAACCAAACGGCAAAAGCGTTGTTAGAAGACCTCGCCAACCTAACCTTACCTAACTTCTTAGAGCCCCCCCGGACTCCCATTATATTAAGGCCTTACTAGGAGATGGTGTAATTTTATGTTTTTTGTGGACGTGAGGGTGGCCATCCATACACTGAGCATTGGTGTTGATCAAGCCTGGGTGGCGGAGTGTTTTGAAATACGTCAATATGATGGCTGTTTACATCCTGGGATGAAACGTCACCGCCACATTACCGCCGAGAAGACAAAGTAGTGTGCACCTAGGTACCTAATTATCTACCAAATGAAGCATTTGCACAAAAAATGATTATCATATCAGAACTCACTAATGAAAATAAAGTAAGAAAATAAACGGTAAAACAAATAAAGTAATATTTCCGTTAGCCGGAGTCCCTCAAACCCGGAACTCTCCTATAGCCGGAATTGAAATTTTCTCGGAAATCGTTCACAAAGTCGTAATTTTACGGAAAATTCTGGCTTTGGGAATGAATTTTCCGAGGGGCAAATTTTTCCCAACACCCAGAAAATTCCGGGGATGGGGGAGTTTTTTCCCGGGTTTGAGAGATGAAAATCAGGCGCATTTTCTGGAATTTTTTATTTTATTTTATCCAATAAAATTAACAAAAATAATTACTTGATCAAAGTGGGCAGGGCTTTGAAATAGTGACCTTTAAAAATCTTAAAATTATAAAACATTTACCTAAATCATGTTTTCAGTGTTGAGTTTGTGGTGGTGTTTTCGGTGTTCAGATGAGGAGGGATCCCTCAACTCAAAAGTGATTCTTAACAGTTAGGAAAGGTTAGGTAAGGTTTTCAATTGTTTGTTTGGTTACCAAGAAGGTAAACTGTACTCTACGGTGACCCAAGGGACGAGGAGGAGGGTGTAGTGTACAGGTGGTCTGACTCACATTACCATGCTATATAATACTTGTCCTAACTCCAAAAAAAAGGCATTTCCCCAATAGAAGACAATATCTAAGAACAATAGAAGCAAAATTTATGTCAAAATAGTGGTGTGTTGTGGCCAAATTTGTGGACAGACTAAAGAGTAAAGTTAACCGGAAGCTAATCTAACCTAACCAAAACCTAACCTATAGTAGCTGAATTACTCTTCCACAACTTGTGAATAAGTTCAACTGGAGGAGGAGAGCACCCGATACACGAAGCAGCCATGGCGAGAATGAAATCAAATTTTTTAATTCAAAATCGTACTCTTCCCCGGAACACATCGATAGCTGATTGAATGAAGACAATGGAATCGAAGCTACGAAGCTCTGTGATTGGTCCTATTAGGCCCATTAGACATCTCTGCTGGTAAAATATTAACTCGGAAAAACCGGTAGATGCTTCTCAGTAACAATTTCAGAGGGTTTGTGGAGTTAACATCAACTCTGATGGCCATGCAATACTTTACATGAATTTACCATCTCAGTTTTTATCCAATTGTGACAGAAGTTGTATTAGAAAAAAAAATTGCAATTGACAAGATAATAACTTCTGCTGAACCGAAATTGCTCTAACCCAATTGGGAGTGAAACAGCAATAATACCAAATAAAGTTTGAGGATGTTTGTCCGGTTGTCGGTTAGGTTATTTACAATCTATTAACTAGATAAATGGAAACGAGAATGCAGGATTTCACGTTGAATATTACGGTAAACCGGTGAGGCGTTGAAATTTCTCCATGAACACGGTGTTTTGCCAACTGGGGTTACTTGCACGAACTGTAAGCAGCCCTGTAGCTATAAAGCGGACAAACACCTTTGGTCCAGAGTGACTTGTGGATGACGAGCAGCACGACCATGATGATACTAACTCCAAGTCTTCTGAGCCTAATTAACCCTTAAGCCCCAGGTTAGGGTGCTGCTGGCAGTACCCCACCCCGCCAGTAACCCCCTACCAGTACCTCCCCCCACCAGTAACACACACACACCCCCGTGGGGATAAATAAAAAAAATAAAAACTTCCTAAAATTATAATAAAAAAATGGCGGGAAAATGGGCGGATGTTCTGGAACGTCACCCGGGGCCTAGGGGTTAAGGTAAGCACTACTGATTCCAAAACTTAAAACCCTAAAAACCGCTGGATGACCGAAACGATAATTTTGCCTAGTTAAGTTTGGTGTGATTAGTGGTATGAAGGTCAGATTCATTCAAAACCCAAAAAACATCGGAAAAACTTAATTTCAACTTCCAACAACTGAGAAAAATACGATGATTTTCCTTTTTTTCCCCAATTTTCTCTTAATCACGAGCGGAAGAAATGCCACAGAAGAAAAGTGTCCTATAATTGGTCTTGGTAAAATTGCTGATTAAAGCAACAAAAGAATCTAATAATAAAAAAAAGTGTTTTTCTGATAGTTTTTGATACGACTGGTTCAAATATGACATTCACTTTTATTGGAAATCACTCGTTTAGGATTTAGCCCCCCCCCCCCTCTACCAATAATGGGGGGAAGTGTGGAAATTGGGGGTTCTGGGTGGGGGAGAGCCAAAACGAGTGATTTGTGGTAGAAGCGAATTCCAAAATTATCCAAATCACAAAAAAACATCAAAAGAACGCAACACCCAACATAAATTCTGCTATTTACTAAAAAAAAGTAGAAATAATAGTTCTACCGATTGCGTGTTCTGAATTCCCGGTACTCTGTGCTTGATAACTTATACAATATAACCCCCTAGTCGCATGGGCCCCCGGTGGCCTTATTATCAATTTGCGACAGAAGTGTAATATAAGAAAATGAAAGAAATAATGGTGCATTACTATAAATTGACCCAAGAATTTTCTAAACTACTGATTCCAATACAGTACTTAAAATCCTAAAAATCGCTGAATGACCAAAACTATAATTTTACCAAATT